TTAACATTTCAGGGGGAAAAAGAGCCACTTAAATAATTAAGGGGGGAAAAGTGCTATAAGTATATAACATAGGGGGAAAAAGTGCCATTTTCCCTTATAATAATGTAATCTGGGAAAACTTTACATAGGCTTCATACTAGACAATAGAGCAGAATTGAAAGATGTGATTTGTGAAAGTTCTTCCCAATGTTTTTAATTTTTCTTTGTTCAGTCTTTAGCCAAAATTGCATCCCTCTCCTTGTTGACAAGAATTTATTTCTTATTACTTTTCCTCCAATTCCTTAAAGTGGGCAGATTTTAGTTCAATTTCCTCCAATAAGGCAATAAATATGTTGAACCACTGATACAATTGTTTGGTTCTTATATTCTTTTGGCAGATTAATCTCAGAAGGAGAGTTTCTAGTGCCCTTTAGTTTCTGTTGATCTGAATATCTGATTGAATCCAGTTTCTTCCATAGTCAATATCTGTTACATGTTTTGGCATGATGAAGCTGTTTCAGGATTACTGAGAATTCATGTAGCATTCAGTTATACTCAGTTCTTTTTCTTTTTTGGTTGCAGGTTGGGACTATTGCTCTTCTTGCTTGACAGGATTGCTAATTTATATTGTTTTCTTTGTCTTGACCGTGACAACTATCAATGCTGTGTTGTAGTCTCTCTTTTCATTCCTTTAGCAGCAGTAGATGGATTCTTTACTTATTTAATAGGCATTTATGTTGGGCTTAGGATCGCTAGTGTTGCGAATGCTATTGTTTAGAGTCATTATCTGAAGTGGTTTGTGATTTTATTTTGCTTGGTTTAAGACTTGGAAGTTGAAGTTTTGGTTCAGTGATCCATGATAGATCACATTACTTGGCTATCAGAAAGATTGTAATACTCAGAACCTTTTGTTTAGTGTATATTTGAATCGGGTGGGGATTGGGGAATTTTTTTAATACTGCGTGGGGTCGGGGTCAGGAACAAGAGCAGAGAGCGGAGGGTGAAGTCTGGCTTCCCTGTTGACATCCTTAACTAATAACTGTGCAGCCACTGTTCTCATATTGATAAAATTTCACATAAATGATTATGGACTGCACTCTGGAATTGTTTACTTTCAGCTGTAATACTACTAATGAATTTAAACTCTGAGGTTTCATTCTGCTGCAGATGTTTCCATCAGCAGAAAGAAATCATTTCTTTTCCATCTTGTATACGCTTCTGATTGTTGCACAAGTCTTTCTGTTTGTATTAGTCTGACATTTTGAAGCATAATTGTAATAGACTTGTGGAATTTTGATATGCTAACAATGCTTTTTACTTATTCTGTATGGATTTTGTATTTTTGTTTGCTCGTACCTTCTTTAGATTTGAGAGGTTTGATGGAATTTGGTGTTATTTCTGTAAGGGATGGCAAAAATTAGAGATAGAACTGAGGATTTCAAAGACACTGTCCATCGAACAGCTGTGTCTCTGGGGTATGATGAGGTACTTTGACTTCATTAGCATATTTTCTTCTTTTTTTTGTCTGCCTTAAGACCTTATTAAGGCCTGATCCTTGCATATTCTGCTTTGGAGATACTCTTATATGGCCTAATGTTTCTCTATTTCCCTTGATCATTAATCTAGAGTTTCAAGGATTTCAAAACCCAAATAGTTTGTTAAAGTCCTCACTGGTCTTGCTTCCGCCCCCCCCCCCCTCTTGTACCAAGATTGCTTCTAATAGTGGCTAGTGGCTACTATTGAGTTTACTATGTGTTTTTATACTGTCATTGAGTTCTTATATATTACTTGCTCGTGCAGTTATTGGTGTTAACATTCACCTCCATACTTTTATCATAGAGATTGTGTGTTCATATACTAATTCTGGGGTTTCAATGGTTCTGTCACTGTTTGTTAAGATCCAATATTGACAACTTACACAATTTTATTTTATGTCATCCTTTTTGTGACATTTGTTTGCTTCTTGCCTAGTTTTGGCAACAAATTGCTGTTGACCATAATGATTGCTTGTAGTCCAAAACAGCAGCCATATTAGCATCCTTTATCTTGCACAAACCTCGACAAAGATCATCGTTCACCAAAGCTGCACTGAAGACGGTATATTTTTGTGATAACATGCTTATTCTCTTTATTTCATCATGTATACTTTATATTCACAAAATTTTAATTTCAAAATAGACTGCCAGTAACAATGAATATACTGTGTACTTTTTACTCTGTAGTATAGGACTGTGAAACAGACAACAGAATATTAATTATAGAAGTCCTTTTAATACAAATTCATTTTCAGCTAGAAAGTATTGGAGTCCTGGAAGAATTCTTGTTGAAACATAAGAAGGATTATGTAGATTTCTACCGCACAACTGAACAGGAGAGAGATAGCATTGAGCATGAAGTAAGATTGATCTGCTTTACCAACATTTTTTTCCCTACCCCAACTTAACATCTTAACTAAATCATCAATTCAATTTTCAGATAGCTTTTGCTACTGAGGTTTAAGCCAACTTATTTGCTCCCTTAAGCTAAAATGATCTACCTTTTTTTGGTGCTTTTAGTGACTCCTTTAAAATATCTTTGTTAAATAACTTTTCTGCAGGTCACCATTTTCATAAAATCATGCAAAGAGCAAATAGATGTTCTCAAAAATAGTATAAATGATGATGAAGCAAAATCAAAGGGCTGGATTGGATTCAAGGGTGATAATTCGAATGCTGATACAGTAGCACACAAACATGGGGTGGTAATGATAATTTCATATTTTTGTTTGTTTGTCACTAAATTAGTATTGTCAATAGTTCATGTTTTTGTCTGTGATGGAACTGTTTCCCACCACTGTATTGTGAAATTAAGAGAGTTTTTCTCTATTTGTGGTTACATATACATGCATACATACAACTTCTGGATGACATTTTGAATTTGGAGGCAGTTCAAATAATGACCATTGAAGCTTAACCGTTTCTGTAGAATAGTAACTAATAGCTCAGAATCCAATTCAATATGCGACGGTGATGAATCAACACATTTCTTCAGTTTCTGAATTCTATTAAAACCCAAACTTTTCTTCATCTAGATTTACAAACTGAGTTGTTTGTAGCATTCAATGCGATCATTCTGCTCATTATTTATCATAATCATGTTAGTGTTTGCTTTAAAGTTTGTTCAAATGTACACAATTATTATTATTTCTGAAAATTTTCTTCAGCTAGATTGGAAAACTGAATTATTTGTATTATTTGATGTGATCTTTCTGCTTAGTATTTGTTGTAATGGTTGAAGTTTGCTTAAAGTTTGATCATGTGCACAATTACCTTACAATTGTTTCTTCTATGGAGTAGCATGTGATCATTTTAATTTGCCATTCTCTAACTAAGCAATGAATGAATTGCTAAATTACAAAATGTTCAAAATATATTTACTTGCGCTATACTGTGTCTGGAATTCAGAACCAAAGTTTTGACTTTAATTGATGACTTTTTGACTTTATGAAAAATTAGCTATTCCTAAAAAGTGAATGTTGAGAGAGATGTAGAAAGAGTTGTTATTACTTCCTTGTCTCAATGGGGAGACAACATAGAAATATATACAGACTAAGAGACACAATCCTACAGACACAACCCTACATAACTTCAAAAGCTATATTTCTACAGACACAACTTTTGTGTTTCAACAAAGAATAGCTAATACCAGGGGTTCCTTAGGAATGACTATTCCCATTGCAAGGGATAGCCAATTCTGCAGAATAGAAAATGAACCAAATGACAATAGATCTATTATGTGGAATGTTGTTTCATTCCCAGCTTATTCTGTGAACCAAAGTCCTTATAAATATTTTAAGCCAAGGGTCTGAAATAAGCCATAGTTGTGAAGAAAGGTTGTGGCTTGTGTTTCCTATTGTTAATTGTTGGAATTGTTGTAAAAATGAAAATGCATCAATGGGTGCATACCTAGTTTTGAATAGCATTAATTTTTCTATGAAGTATGAACTAATTGACATCTGAATTACAGGTTTTGATTTTAAGCGAAAAGCTCCACTCTGTTTCATCACAATTTGACCACCTGCGAGCCTTGCGCTTCCAAGATGCTATTAACCGGGTAGCACCAAGAAGGAAACCAAGACGGACCGGCAAAAGTAGTACATCAGAGATATCTACATCTAGCAACTTAGACCAGAGGCAGCAGAGTGATTCCGAGGCCAGGGACCCAAATGAATTGCGATCTGAGCCTATCAGAGTTCAGGAACAATTTTTAGATGATGAAACACGTGCCCTCCAGGTAACTGGTAATCTTAAATTTTCTCCATAAGGATCAGGCTTTTAGTGGCAGATCTTAAAAGGTTACAATCTTGGATAGGTTTGAGATTTCTTAAATCTTAACTGTAATTCAGGTAGAGTTGACTGGTCTTCTGGATGCTGTTCAACAAACAGAAACAAAGATGGTGGAAATGTCTGCATTGAACCATCTCTCCAACAGGCCCAACAGATAGAATATTTGTATGACCAGGTTAGATAAATATTTATTTGAATAAAAATGAGTTTATATACTCTAGAAACCTTTGATTACCTTCATAATAAGCTGTTATAATTTATTTATTTTTTTTGAAAGGAATATTTTAATTTTCTTTAATTTAACAGGCAGTTGAAGCTACAAAGAATGTAGAGCTTGGTAACAAAGAGTTAACAAAGGCCATTCAACGGAACAGCAGTAGCAGAACTTTTCTTTTACTCTTTCTGTTTGTACTTATTTTCAATTCTCTTCCTTGATTGGTATAATTAATTGGATGGTAAATTATGAGTCATATCCAATCTAACACAAGGTCCCGTTCCCATATTTTTTGTGTTTGCAGTCTGCGATGTTAATTAGTACAGTTAAATTAAAATGCCACAATACTATATTGTTTTCTAGTAACAGACTAACAGTACTTTTCTATTTCGAAACATTTAGAACAATAATGTGCATATTCTATTATCATTACACATATCCTTTCAAAATTTGGATTCTGTACAAAATTTACAGCATACTTTGGAAAAGTAGCAACAAAAAAATGCATATTCTTCACTGGCGTATGCTTTCCAATCTTTACTTCTGCTTGGCTGGAAGGCAAAAGTAAACGTTGCTGCTTACAGTGCAGCTGGTGGCAATGGCAACAACATAGTTCTGTTCCTGTTTATGCATGTAATCATGGTTATCTTCTGCTACAAAGACAACCTGGGAGAGGATTTGCATAGAAGTTTTCCTCCAACTTCGGTGCCTGTCCTACTACTCTGGGATTTGGTCCTGCTGTACTATTTTGCTGTAAGTTTCTCAACTCTGATGCAAACTCTTTCCAAGTTAATTCCCCCCTGTCCATTTCACCCAAAATTCTAACAAATTTTTTCCTGCAAACAATACCGGATATCTCAGATGAAGTGAAAGACTGATATCAAGTAAGTGGGAAAGCAGATTAACCCCCTAAAAAAACAGAATATCAGGTAGTGTCATGTACTTGTCAGGATTGATGGTTTTCCGGAAGCCTTCAAAGATCCTGTGGCCACGAACAGCCTTGGCCATGTTACCATCATAGGTGTAAGCAAAGACATCACTCTCAACTGCCACAATGTAATCCAAGGCTGCTAGCTGATTGTGCCTGTCTATAAAAGGCTCCAGCTCCTCTGCAGTTGCCAAGTTAGAATGAGAGTATACATTTGGGTACTTCTCCTGCAACGCATTCAGTCCATTCTGCCCAAAAATTGCCCCTGCGACAATGTAGATTTTTGTGCTGGCCGGATACCCCATTGCCTCAAGGAATATGGCAGCCTCTTGGGGAGTCATTGGGCATGTCCCCTGGAGCCGCCTCTCTGTTCCATTTATCCGTTTCTCCTTCCAGTGCCTTGTTTTGTGTCTTAGTTTCCTCAGCTCCTCAGCTTCTTTCTTGGTAAGGTTGTGATTACACCCAGTGAAAGCTAGCATATCTTTTTCATACCTACATTTCAATTCTCAGGGATAAAGTTGTAACCCTATCTAGTTCTGCATTTAGTTATCAATCTTTATACCTCAAGTGCAGCGCGATGTAATGATCGCCATTTCCTTTGAGTCTGCTAACTAATTTTTTTGCAAGCTCTTCAATTCCATCCGTGAAACGTAGCGCGTCATACATAGCATGGCATCTGAGCTTCTGGATTGAATCCGGGATCCCATTGTTGGCAAGGCGTGAATCAGAGTGAGTGAATTCTATCACTTTATGTTTCTTTAGTAGTTTCAAAATGACTTTTCTGTAGTAACCGGGCTGCACATAAACAACAATTTAGACTCAAGTCCTATCTCAATCTATATATCATAAGACAGTCCCAGTTATTTGTACTTGTCTCATACTATGATGTTTGTTCACCAGTTAACATCTTCACTCATATAGGGTTATAAGACAAAAACTTGTTTTACTAGTGTATTAGACACATGGGGTGGTTGGTAAATAGTTGTTAGCTGATTGTGTTAGTTGGGTTGACTAGTTGATTGCATTCGCTGATTGTAGAAAGATGTTTGGTAAATCAATTGTTAGTTGATAGCTTATTACATACAAAATGACTTTTTCAAAAAGCTGATCGAAAAAGTACTTTGAGCAGCTTTTTGAATTTTAGTGTTTTGGAGCAATGAGCTGTTACAAAAAGCTAATTAATCAAACACTTATATTGACTATTTAACCAAGTCAAACAACTAATAGTGGTCATGTAAGCCAAAATTGGTTGATAAACTAATTATGTTACCAAGCAGGCTACCGTAAACCTAGTTGAGGTGGTAATACATACATAACTAGCCTAGCTTTCTATTGTAAAAGGCAAAGATTTGAGTGATGTGAGAGCTTGCCTTTGACCAAGAAACAGGAGTTTTCACTAAGGGCTTAACATCTGCAAGATGTGGTGGAAGAGCTTCTACAACATGAACATCATCTTCCAAAGATTTTATGAAGTGTTGCCAGTTAAAGATCTCCTTGAATTCACTGACAACAATCAGTTCAACATTGGCCAAAGTTAGCCATTCATTCATTTTACAGCCCCCCCCCCCCCCCCCCCCCCCCCAAAAAAAAAGACCAAATTGAAAGAAATTCCCAGGGCATCTAATGCTCTTTTTGAACGGAGAAAACTCCTCCATGAAAGTAAAAAGCTGATGTGGATTAAGGGCACCAACATAAACCAATGTTTATGACAATACCCTATAATTATAGCACACCACCTCAGCAGAGTTGTTATACCATGGTAGTCCTAAACGACGTATAAACGACGTATAAATTGTGTATTTTTCTAAGTCAAAACACATAACAGTTGTAGAAAGGAATTTGTGAATACAATACAGGGTCATCAAATCTTAATTTGTTAATATTGTATAACTGCTATTTGAAAGTAACTTGTGAATACAAAACAAGGTAATCAATTACATATATGTTAACATTGTGCGTTCGTAGTATACAAATTGTGAATTTTTAAAAGGTAAATTGTGAACATACTGACAGAATAATTTGGGCATGTAGTTGCACTCAATTATATATATATTCTTGAGTTTGAAATCCATAATCATATCATATCATACCTGGGATCTGTCCAAAAAGATTTGTGATCTAAATAAGGAAGAACCAAAGTAGCATTCATTAGCTTAGCTATAGCTACCATATCGCTGATCTGCAACGGTACGGTGTTTGAAGAAACACAAAACAATTAAGTGCATCAGATAATAACTTAATTTGAAGCTGGACTACAATCTCAGAGCACTTTCCAACAAAAGAGATTGCATGGTTTCTTACCCCAGTTTTCATTTGATTTAATCCACCGTTTGCATGGACTAGGATGTAGCCATTGCTGTTATTTTGAAGCCCTGAGAGAAGGTAAAACTTACCAAAAATGAATAAGCTAAGGTAGCTAGCTAATAAAACTCCAACTAGTTAATAATTAATAATTGCTTGAACCAACATACTTGTATCTCTACTTGATCGCTCTACGCATTTAGTGTAGTTGTCGCTTATAGGGTTTCTCCAGATTTCAGAATCCTTAAATCACAAATAATTGTTAAACAACCAAAATATAATGATGATGACATAATATAATTATAATAATAAACAACTAAATACTCTATTTCTTGCTTCAAGTTTAAAATCAATAGACTTAATTTACACAGGATGTATGTACAGCATTACATGCGTGATAAATGATTATCTTAAATTGCATTTTTTTAATTAATTATCTAACCATGCAAATTATATTGTACTGTGATTCTTAAAGTATTTTCATTGAAAACATAAGTTATACCCCAACAATTACAAAAGTTAACTCGAACTAAAGTTAGTGAGTTTTTAGCTAATTCAAACACATTGTTATTGGTATTATGTATTTTAACTAGTAATATAAAGAGAGAAATTGCAAATTCATTCATTATTTATTTATTTTTATTAAAAAAAAAAAAAAACTTCTATGATGATTGTATCTAGTACTATTAGTACCTATAGTCAATACAATACTTATTTTCTTATTAATTGATTAATTAATTATATAAATAAACATATTAAGTGGCAAACTACCATGTAGTGTAATGGCATCTCGTTATCATACTTTTGGGCTGAAAAATGAGTATTTCAAAAAAAAAAAAAATCATATTAAGAGGGTGTTTGGTAAATAGCTGTTAGTTAATTGCTATTAGCTGATTGGGTTAGTGGATTTGACTAGTTGATAGCATTAGCTATTGCAAAAAAGTGTTTGGTAAATTAGTTGTTAGCTGATAGCTGATTACATGCAAAATTACTTTCTCAAAAAATTGATTTGAATAAATTTTTGAATTTTATCATTTTAGAGTAATAAATTGTTACAAAAAGTTAATTAATCAAACACTTACATTAATTATTTAACCAAGTCAAATAGCTAAATAGTGATCAAATAAACTAAAATTAATTGATAAACTAACTAGTTACCAAATAGGGTCTAAATGTGTATATATAAAAACATAGTGGGTTGAGTGAATTCTATGTGGGTTTTGCATATCAAACTCGCACCCAATTCGACATGCTATGGGTTATAATTTTGAAAGCCCACCCAACCACCACACGCAAATTAGGCAAATTATATTGTGCATCCGTATGCACCATGCATGGTGCATACAGATGCAAAAACGATATCGTTTTATTAAAAACTCGTGCGTCTCCCCTTAAAAAAAAATTCAGGTTCGATTCCTAGCAACAACATATGAGTTAAAATTCCAGAATCGATGAACTAAAATTCCAGAATCTAATCTATGAACTAAAAATTCCAGAATGAATGAACTAAAATTCCAGAATCTATGAACTAAAATTTCAGAATCGATGAACTACAATTCCATAATCGATGAACTATAATTCCAGAATCAATGAACTAAAATTCCATAATCTATGAACTAAAATTCCAGAATGAATGAACAACATAATGATGTTGCTGTGAATCGAACTTGAATTTTTTTTAAGGGGAGACGCGCGTTTTTAATAAAACGACGTCGTTTTTGCATCCGTATGCACCATGCATAATGCATACAGATGCACATCATAACTACTCCGCAAATTATGCCCTGGAAACGTGTTCACCGTGAATGGTGAACACAAATCCAAACGACGTCGTTTTTACGCGAAAAAAAATAGGTAATGTGCTGTTAACGGCGCGCGTTTGATCAAATTATGAATTTTCTGTTATGAGATTATGAATGTAATGTAAATTCATAATCTCATAACAGAAAATTCATAATCGCATAAAAGTAAAATATTTATTAAATTATGAATTTTCTGTTATGAGATTATGAATGTAATTTAAATTCATAATCTCATAACAGAAAATTCATAATTTCATAACAGAAAATTCATAATCTCATAACAGAAAATTCATAATCTCATAACTGAAAATTTATAATCTTATAACAGAAAATTCATAATCTCATGGTTCCAAAGTGAATGTGTAGGCATGGTTCCAAAGTGAATGTGCAGGCATGGATTCATAATTTATAAATGTCCGTGATTTCGGACGGGAATGTGTAGGCATGGTTCCAAAGTGAATGTGCAGGCATGGATTCATAATTTATGAATGTCCTTGATTTCGGACGGGAAAGTGTAGGCATGGTTCCAAAGTGAATGTGCAAGCATGAATTCATAATTTATGAATGTCCGAAATCATTGCTCACCTCAAATTAAAGTGAAACCGCGAAATGTGAAAATGAAGAAGAAAAGTCACGCAATTAATTAAGAAAAAAATAATAATAATAACGGTGTACTAACACCGTTGGAACCGTGTTCACCATGAATGGTGAACACGATTCTATGGCATAACGATTGACCACCACATGTATTATCCAAAAAACTCAATCTATGCAAGATGAGGTAAGTACCCACATGTCAAATCAAATTGAAATTGTCTACTTTACTTGGGCAAATTGTGCTATGCGTCTGTGTGCATCATGCATGGTGTATACGGATACAAAAAAAAAAACATCGTTTTGACTAAAATGTCTATTCATTTAAAAAAAATCAGTTTCAATTTCCAGCAACAGCATTATGTTGTGCATAATTTGAACTATATATCCAAAATCAATGAACTAAAAATCCATAATGAATGAACTAAAAATCCATAATGAATGAACTAAATATCCAGCATGAATGAAAAAAAAAAATCAGTTTCGATTTATGTCTAAATATCCAGAATCAATGAACTAAAAATCCATAATTAGTAAACTAAAAATCCAGAATGAATGAACAACATAATGCTGTTGAGGGGAATCAAAACTGATTTTTTTTTTTTTAAGTAGGACGCGCGTTGTTAGTCAAAACGACGTCGTTTTTGCATCCATGTGCACCATGCATGGTAATGGTGCACACGGATGCACAACATAACGATTGCTTTACTTGTGGGGGGTTGTGGGGCATCATAAAGTTCTCTTATCAAAATGACTTTCTCAAAAAGTTGATGGAAAAATTTGTTTTGAGCAGCTTTTTGAATTTTAGTGTTTTGGAACAATAAATTATTACAAAATGCTAATTAATCAAACACTCATATTGGTTGTTTAACCAAGTTAAACAGCTAATAGTAGTTAAACAATTCCAAAATTGACAGACTAACTATTTTACCAAACCGTCAAAACAGGACCACTATCGTAAAAATTTTCAATTACTATTTACTAATAGGAAAAAGTGTCAAATTGGCCCCCTAAGTGAAGCGGATAGTGCAATTGAGTCCCCTAAGTAAAAAAAGCTCCATTTCAATCCCCTAAACCTGTAAAAAAGTTCAATTAGGTCCAAAGTTACCTGTTTAGCAGGTTAGTGTCTTCTAATGGTGACATGTGTCTCTTTATTATTATTATTATTATTATTATTATTATTATTATTATTAGATTTTTATTTTTTTTTAAAAAAAGAAATTCTTCATACAGCCACCGGCTGTAGCAGCCGGTGGCTGTACTCATTCAAGGAGAGCCATGGCTGTGGCGACAGCCCTGGCTATCCGGCAGCCATGGCTGTCCTAAAATACAGCCATGGCCATCTAAAAAAAAAATTAAAAACTTTTGAATTTTTTTTTATTGCCATGGCACCCATCGCTATGTAAAAAAAAAATAAAAATATCAAAATATCTATCAGTCCGTCAAGAAATGAGCATTAAGGAGAAAGGAGAAAGGTGGCGGTTCTGTCCGACAGTGATGTTGGTTGGAGTGGTCTCAAACTGTGCGCCAGAGCTGAAGCTTCTCCTCATCGCTCTCCCGCCGGAGCTAAGCATTAGAAGGTGACAGCTCCTCCTTCTCTTCTCTATTATCAGTGAAATTTATCCCCGTGCCGCGAATCTTGAATAAATATTGATATGGATGAAGACAAAAATGGCTGTCAAAAAAAATCAAATTTTTTGAATTTTTTTAGATGGCCATGGCTGTCTCAGACAGCCATGGCCATCATTTTTGACAGCGTCGTTGTCAAAAAAAAATTCAAAATTTTTGAATTTTTTTTACACGGCCATGGCTATCTCAGATAGCCATGGCCGTCTTTTAGGACAGCTATGGCTGCCGGGTAGCCACGGCCATCATTTTTGACAGCCGTGGTTGTCGCCGGATAGTCATGGCTGTCCTTGAATGAGTACAGCCACTTTACCGTCGGTGGTGGTATGAAGAGTTAATAATAATAATAATAATAATAATAATAATAATAATAATAATTAAAAAGCGACACATGTCACCATTAGAAGACACTAACCTGCTAAACAGGTAACTTTAGACCTAATTGAACTTTTTTACAGGTTTAGGGGATTGAAATGAAGCTTTTTTTTACTTAGGGGACTCAATTGCACTATCCGCTTGACTTAGGGGGCCAATTTGGCACTTTTTCCTTTACTAATATAAGGATTATAAGCACACAAATTTAAAAGAAGTTGATCAACCTGCCTTTCCTATGTAATCTATCACGTACATACCTTCCGATAGTAATTGCATGTTTCATTATGTAAAGAAAAAAAAAATACTCTGTAACAACTTGAACAATCTTTTGTTTTAATAAATTGTATATAAATATATTAATATATTTAGTGATATTATTTTATATTATTTGTCAAAAAAAAGTTTTTTTTTTTCTTTTAAAGAAAAATGTAATATCATTCACTAATCACTACAGGAATATGTATGTATGTATATATAATTGAAGCAATTAAGGACAGAGGACTAACATGATTAGAAAACTTGTGGGTGTCCGCAGCGGCGGCACAACGACGACGACGACCAGCACCACCCTCGGCGGCGAGAAACGGTGGCAGTTGCAAGAAGTCATGGGGGCTCATCCGAGCATGCACCTTAAGAAAAGTTTTCATGAGCGAGATCTTGACGAACGCGGTGGAAACCGCCAGCAGCGTGAGAGCTCCAAGAACCCAGCCGCTAAGGTTCCTGCCGGGCATCACAACCCTCGCCGCACAGCTTACAATCTTCCTATGCAACACCCCACCGTCCGCCGCCGCCGTCCGGTGTTGATTGTTATTACTATGAAGGTGGCCGGCGGCGTGGCTAATCATGTTATTACCACCACCGCAGCCAGCATCTTCGTGCTCCCCCGCTCTGCGCCTCGTCTTGGCCACGGTCTTCGTCGTCATCGTCGGCAGCGGTGGCTTGCCACCGTCGCCGCCGCCACACGAGTTCTCTCCGCCGGCGGACGACATCTTATCTTAATTTACGGCTTCGGCGGCGAGCTGAGGAGATTTGATTATTATTAAGGATTAAGCTAAGCTAGCGATCGAAAAGTAAAGATATTATATATGGATCGATAATCAAGGAGAGAAGAGAGACATGGCAACGATATGGCTCATCTTCTCCATGCAATCTAGTAATATGTTGGTGCCATTGTCCACTGCCATTTTCCTCCGCTCGGTTAGTTTTTGTAGAGTAATGTAATGGATCCGATTTATGTGCCTAAAACCTCGCTCCTTTCTCAGTCTTTTCTCTTCCTATCAATGGTCTATATATCATCATTTTATATATGTTAGTTTCTTTCATTTTTTCAACCCCTGCACACATCCAAACTCTTCATCAAAATTTATTTCCGAACAAATAAATTCAAACAACATTTCTACTTTGTATTATTTCATAACTAATTCAAAAAATATTAATGCTATGTACTACATGTCATGGATTAAATTTAGGGTGTAAATGATAGTTGAAGACATTTCAAAATTGCTAAAATTATTCAGTTTCAGCTCCACTGTAGTAATTTTCATAATTATCAGATTCGTAATTTATGGGATAAACAGGAGTTGAATGTCTGTAAGAGTCTCCTATTTCATAATTTATGTGTGCATGCTGTTGATGAAATTCTGCTTCAAAATTTTTAATGTGTCTTGATTGAGAAACTAATTCGATTATTTCTTCAACTAAATTTTCTAATTTTTCTTCTTCAAAATCTATTTCCAATCAAATAAATTCAAACAACATTTCTACTTTGTATTATTTCCTAACTAATTCAAAAAATATTAATGCTATGTACTACATGTCATGGATTAGTCCCTTCAACTCCTATACATACCCAAACTCCTCAAAATTTATCTCCGAAGTTATAAATCTAAAACACTATTCCACTTTGACTCATTTCCTAACTAATCCAAAATTTATTAATGACATGTACTACATGTCATTGGATAGTCATTTCAAAAACTACTCCACCATTTCTTTTTCACAAATTACTATCCTAATTCTTACATGTTTTATTTTTCCAAACTAAACCTCTGCGGAGGCATACCCCCCATATTTGGCATCAGAGCCTATTACGATTCTGAAAAAATTATATGATTCATTCATATTTAAAATTTTTAATTCAGAGACTTAGAGCACTTGAACAAGAGCTTCAAACTTATTTCAAAGAAATGCATAAGTATCACTACTTACAAAATTGGAAATATTATGAAGAATTTTATTGGAGACATAAATTTACCCTTAATAAAATACAAAAACTCAAAAGTTATATTACAGAAATCTCTGCATAAATTTCATTATCTAAGGCTTAGAAATTAAAATGATTCATTCATGTTTAAAATTTTGCATTTGGAAACTTAGAAATTATGAACATAATCTTCAAGTTTTTCAAGCAGATATGCAACATTATTATTATTTACAAAATTGGGAACAGTGTGTATATTCCTATAATAATTATGAATTTACACTTAAGAAAATTCTTGAACTTAAAAGTTATATTACAGAAATTTCGGCATGAATTTTTCTGAAAAAATTTCACATTTAAAATATTACCAAAAATTTTATAAAAATAAAGCATTAGAATCTAAAAAATGGTTAGACACTGAAGGAAAAAATTATGATCCAAATTCTTCTTTTTATAAAACAATGAAAAACACTTATGAATCTCATAAAGACATTTTAGAAGAAATTGAAAATTGTATAGCAAAACTAATCTGTTAATATGAATCAGTCAAATGAAATAATTTTAAAACAAATTGATTATTTAAAAACTATGATGGAACAGCAAGAAAAGAAAATTTCAATTTTACTAAAATTAATTGAAAATTTTAATACAAAATTTGACTTAGTAATAAGAGAAAAACAAATAATTGAAAATTCAAAATTAATTGAAATAAATAATTCCATAGATTTGCTATCTAAAAAATTTTCTAATATCCAGATTTCTTCGCAAATTAAATCCAAAACAAAAAACTTTTTGACATACAATTTAGAGGAAGTCAAGAAAATTTTAAATAAACAATGAATCCTTTTTCGGGAAGGTCAAGAACATAAACTTCAGAAGAACCTAGTTCTTCTAGAATTAGCACATTAAACCAAACCAACAGTCCCTCTTATTTAAACAGACTTTTTAAATTTAACTCAAACAAAAATGCCTATAAATTAAAACAAATTGTTGACACAGAAAGAGATTTAGAAATTATGTCAAATGATTGCATTAATACATTAAGACCAAATATGTTATACAGAACTGGTGTTTTAGAAAACAATTCCAGTTTAATTAGAACACATAGATCCGAAATGTTAGAAATACCAGAAGGTAGGACTGAAACATTCGGATTATTAACAAATGAAAGTATAAATCAAATTTCTTCCAAAAACTTAAATTATATACATTTAGGACTAATTACAATTGGAGTCAGAGGACTACTAATAAAACAAAATGGGACAAAAGTCTTAGTTGCTGTTTTAGACACTAGATATCTGATACTGCTAATTACTACGTAAGCAATAATTAACCAAACACGAGACCAATTAAAGCAAGTAAGTATCTTTATTGATTCCGGTGAAGGCCCTAAGTACAATCTACTTGGTTGCTCTGAGTACCGACTGACTGCGGTCAGGATTCTCTAACAACAACCTATCGATCGTCCAAAAGTCCCCCACACTGTAGCTACTGAGGGTATTTATAGCCGCTGCGCCGGAGACACAAATCCGGTCGTTCGGCATGCTCTCCACGTAGCCACCACGTGTCATCCTCCCGGGTGCCCTGTCTGTCGTCGCAAGGAGCCGCCACGTGTCCCTCGTCAGCTCTCTCGCCAAAGGGCTACCGCTCGGTGGTCGACACTGCCGCTCGGGCAAGTCCCGGTCGGATCCCGACCGGGTTCTTCACAAGAAGCCCGACCTGTTACCTGCAAAGACAAAGAGAAAAGGACGAAGGCACGCCGGTCGAGGTAAAGCTATGTCGGTCGGGATATTCCCTACCAAGAGCCCCCCAGCCCGGGCCTTTTTGACCGTCCGGGAAAAAACGGGACGGGATGAAGAAGCCCAACCGTCAGCCATCAAACCGACCAGCCAGCTGTCATTCCTTCTCTTGCCACGTGTCGGCGACTGCCGACATCTACGACTGCAACGGTCGCCTCGGAATCAGTGCGGGTCACTCGCGCAAGTGGATTGGTTTCCCGCCCAAATGCTCTCCTATAAATAGGCCCTTGAGGCCTTCATTTGAAATTTCTTCAATCTTCTGATCCAATCGGCACCCTCAGAGAGTCCCAAGCGAGCTATTCAGCAGACCAACCGAGCAATTCCCTTGCAAACTTCAGCCAAGTTTCCTTGATCGGTAAGCTCTCTACTCCTTAGCTTTTGCTTTATTTTTAGCTTTGCGTAGGAGTAGGGTAGAACTAACTCCGACCTAACATCCCGAGCCCTGCACTAATCCCGACCGACCTTTAGGTAGAAAAGATGTCAGATTCGGAAAGCCAGAATATCTCGGTCGCAGACTACGACGACGTGGTCAAGCAAAGCAGCGAAGAGGTGGACATCATGTCCTACTCTCCAGAGGTCGAGCAACGACCGCAGCAAATCCCCGTCCGAGCCCCCGAGCAAGAAAGGTCATCAAGCTCATCAGGGACGTCGAGGTCGAGCTCCAACGGGTCGGGGAGCTCGAGCACAGGAAGCGGGAAGACGTCCACAAGCGGACGGGACTCCCCGGTAGAAGGCGTTAGGGAAACGCCTACGAGGGTAATAGGGGATTACCCTCAGGTTGAGCCCGAAGAGGGCCACCGGGCAAGCGAAGCAGAAGCAGTCGAGGAAGACCCGGCCGGGCCGGCGGCGCCAAGCGGGGACGGGTTTGAGTTCCTAAACAGCGAAAGTGTCGAAGGCCAAATGAGTTTGCTGACAAAAGGGGAAGCAAGCAGAATTGCGGCACCTCTCGCCGGTCGGGTCGAGTTCGACACCAGTAGGCAGCTCAGGAATATCATCGAGCGGCACCAGGGGAAGTGGCTCTGGATGCATTACGACTCGCTAATGGCCCCGATCACTTTCCCTTTCTCCAGCCTCCTCACGGCATTCCTGGGCTACTACCAGGTTATGCCCGGACAGATCTGCCCGAACGCGCACCGGATGATCGCGTGTTTCCCCCAGATCTGCAATCGGTACAACTTGGCCTGCACCATAGAGCTCTTCAACTTTGTCTACCAAGTGAAGGTGCTGGCGGCCGCATACGGGGGTGGATTCCTGATGACCCAGTCCCGAGCAGATAAGTGCTCGATTGAGGGGCTGCCCGGGAACAACCGGGGGTGGAAGAACCGGATCTTTTCAGTGAAGTACGATCCGTGGATCCTCCCGGTCGAGAGGGTCTGGAGTCAACGCTTTCGAAAGCAAGTCATCCCAACCGAGACCCAGGCCCTTATAGATGCCGTGACCAAGATCTCGGGCGAGATTTACGAGTACTGCATCTTCAAATTGCCCGAGTGCTACGAAGCGGCCCGGCTGCCCGATCCGGTCTACGACCTTACCGAGAAGTACAAACCCGAGCCGGCGGGTGTAACAATTGCACGGATGCCCGCTCGGGACAAAAGGAAGGGTAAAGGTTTGAGGCTAACCCTTTTCCCGACCCTTAACATTCCGACCGTGCCTTTAACTCGATCTAACCCACTTCTTTTGTTTGCAGAGATGGCCGGTTTTGGAGACGAGGACGTCCCTCTACGCCCGGTGGCCAAGATTTCACTTGGCAAAAAGAAAGCCCAAGCCAAACCAACCGGGGACAAAAAAGTCCCTGTTGCCCGACCTCTAAGGGCATCGACCGTCACCACGACTGAAGGCTACGTCGTGGACGCATCAGAAGTCCTGGTTGCCCGGGTGGCGGTCGGGAAGGGGAAGGAGAAGGCGACGGAGAAGAACGTCTCCGAGAGCGGGGCTTTGAAGCGGCGCCGCGAGCAGCACAGCCCGAGCCCCTCAGGCGGGGGTAGCAAAGGCGGGTCTTCGATCCTTGCCTGGATCGGCAAAGCCGGGCCGACCAAGGAGGACGTCACGAAGCTGTCCCCGAGCCAGGAAGCCGAGAAGATTGGCTACGACCTAGCTGAGGTAAACACGTTCTCTTCTTTTTAAATTTTATGCAAGTAACTCCACTCGGCTAACTCGATCGTTTTCATGCACTGCAGATCTCCCGAGCGGCCCAGTTCCTTCAACAACGGGCCTTACAGGCCAATGAAGCTGAAGCCCTGAAGAAAGTCGCCAA